ATCTGCTTTCAGTAAGCCTCTGGAGGTTGTTCTAAGGCCACAGGTACGAATTTGATTCATACGAGTAGTTTCTTTTCACTTATGAAGCCTCATGCTGATTTTGTTAGCTGCCCCAGAGATGAGGAGCTTCATCTTTGTGCATCTGAGTCTAGCACCTAGATAGGCCTGGCTGTGTACTAACTTTAATGAAAAACATTAATGAAGAAACAGAGTAAAACTGAGGGATTTTTTTCCTGTGGTAACTGCTCTTGCTGTTCTTTGTAAATATTATGGATGGAAAACATTCAAATGGGTGTCCCCTCAAGCTGCATTTCACTCAGTAATATGTGCTTGTTTTTTAGAGCTTAACTGCCCCTACAAGCCTGTTTATTAAAAGTGTTATATTTAATTTGTGTTTTCCATTTTTTTTCCCTGCCTCATTGCAAATGTTTTCAGTAACATATGGGAGCAGGAGCTGGTGCACAGAGCCCTGTGGAATAGGAGGACTTCCTGTGTGCTAGGGGAGGCATCTGGCAAGTTGTGTGAGAGGCATCCTGAGCAGCGGAGACGACGGCTGCTTAGCTGGGTGATCTGCAGCTGCTTAGGGGGGTCCATGAACCACAAGCTGTGCTGCAGGCACTAGATGAAGTGTTACTTGCACTGAAGCCACCTCTAGAGGCTGCTTTGCACAAGGGAGTAATACAAATATGCCTGGAGTGCTTGTTCCCAAACACCTGGCACAGCTTGTGCTGGTGGATTTGCTTGTGTTGCTGAACAAGGTCATTTCGATCTCTGCCGCATCCTTCCATGGATGTTGTATGAAATATCTACATCTGACTTACTGGGAAAAAAAAAAAATAACAGGACTTTCCTGGGTGCTCTGACAGGAGCTCCCTCATCCCATAACAGCTGAGAGGCGGTGCTGTGCGTGCTGAGCTGTCTCCTGTACAGAGTGCGCCCCTGCCCTGCAGTGCTCCTGTGTGAAACTGTCCTTCCCCCAGGCTGCTTGAGGGGGGGTTCCCTTGCTCAGCCACCTCCCTGGACCTTAACTTTTCCTCGCTTGCAGCCACCGGCCCTTCCTGATGCCCAGGGAGACAGCGAGACCGGCCCTGAGGCAGCCACAAGCTGGGCCAGAACCGGACAGAAGAGACAGCCTTTGGGGCCCTGTGCCCAAATGCTGCCACTCGATCTCCCCAGCGAGACAGAGAACAGGATATACTGCAATGCGCTTGCCCGAAATGCTTTTTTCCCTGAGGATACTAAAGATAATGTGAATTTTTGATTCCGTAGTCTCTGTTTTTTCTTCTGTGAGTGTAGTGTGTAACGGTGTATGTTAAGAAAACCTGATGGCGTTAGCTGATTTCTAGTTTTCTCTTCCTTTGATTACTTGGAGACTGCAAAATAGACAGGTCTATACAAGAAAGTCTAAGAGACTTAATCTCTCACTCAATTTCTCTAAATTAAACCAAAACAACAGTAGAAAATCCAGGAATCCTATTAAAGATGACCTACATAGTGGGAATAAATTTGTTTATACCCCCCTTTTCTTCCTAATTTACTGTCAAGAAATCTGTGAAATAGTTTTTTTTAATATTCTTCTTTTTTTTTGTTTGTTTTATTGTCACTTCAAAATGTAATTCTACCCGCCTTGGGTGTGATGCTCTTGAATGGGAATCTAGCAAACTGAGGCCATTTCAAAATCCAAGAGAGTGAAAGCTGAACAAGGGAGATGTGACAGGGATTTAGGCCAGGGCTATAATTAAAGGGATTCGTCAATAGAGCTTTAGCACAGAGTACTTCCAGCAAACCCCTGAGAGGAGATGGAGATTATCCTGGGAAAATAGCTTTTCTGTTGGCTTAAAACAGTCTTCCAAACAGAGCAAGTTAAACTGCTGCTTCTCTAGGGTTGTTGCTCAGTGCAGTGATCTTGGCTAGGATTTCCTTTTTTCTTGACTCATTCTTCAGTGACATAGTGATTCTGTAGGATGCCTTTGCAATATCCATAAAGAAGATTGTTGGACACTTATTAGTGACTACTCGAATGTTTTATTGACATTTCAGAGAAAATAATGCTTTATTAAAATATACATCCTTCTGCAGTCTTAGAATTTAATTAAAAAGTATTTAAATTAATGAAAAATATAGTCTCAGA